CGTTCAATCCGCCAGTGTGAACAAGAAGGTACTAAAACTACACAGAGGGTCTTGACCTGTTTTGCATCATGAGCCACTTTGGCAGTTCCACACTAAAAAATGTGGAACCGTTTCTTCAAATACATAAAATAAACACATTACAATGAAAAATAACTATATATAAAGTTATTAAAATATCAAAAGAATTCTTTATTAATGCATCACATAACAAGGTCTACCAGCAGGTCTAGTAGTTAACATAATTTTGAAGTAGCGACGAGTATAAATTATAGTTGAGATACTTTCAATAACTGCGATGCGATTTAAAAATAATCTATGATTTCTATTGGTGCCAATACTGCCGTGGTTTATTGCTTTCATTCATAATTGAAGGAAGTATCAAATATCAGAGTTAATGAAAACGAAGATGTATTTTTTTTCTATCCAAGTTCTGTACCTTAGCTTATGAACCCCTGAACTAAACATAGGTAAATACTAGAGTTATAAAGTAACATAATCCTTCAGAGACCTCAAAATCCATACCCTTGTCTCGGTCCAGGCAAGGTTCGCACTACAACGTATCATCTTTGTTACTATCACTGAAAGGGTTTCCAGCTGGATAGAATCATGTAGTTTCATGTACTACACAGGGCAACTCCTGTATTAGTATAGACAATATATGATCTATGTTGGTTTAACATAGTAATGCAGTGTAACACAAAAGGACGCTATTGGTCTCAACTTATCGTCCTAACTGGAATTTTCTAACTTTTTTCCTTATTACTATACTGAAAATTATATTAATGTTACTTTGAGAGAAAAGACGGTGCTCCAAGATTTTGCTTAGATTAAAAACAAGAAAGCATTTAGCTAAATGTACCCAAGGTAGTTATTTAAGAGTCAGAGGGAGTAACAATTCTAAGTATGTTCATTAAAAGCAGTGGAAACCTTGTTTTCTTTTACCATTGCTGCAGATTTAGTTCAATGACAGCTACATGAGTCTCTGTTGGCAGATCTCCGACCAAGGGGAACCGTGACTCACCCCTGATCACTGGCTTGTCTACTCCGGTTCATCCCAACTGCCTCCTGAGGCTTTCGGAAAAAAGGTACAAGTTTGACAAGTCTCACCGAGAAAATCATGAGAAAGAGAAGAGCTGGAATCAAGGAGCCAGGTCTTAGGTCAAGTAAACAATGATGCAGGATTTTAAATAAAGTGGCAATCAGAATCTTGACGAAATTAGTATTTGTCATGTATTTTGGCTGGTGGGGGAGGTATTCCACAAGATCCTGCAAGCAAAATGCCACAGGATTACAGAAAAGTTTCAGTAAGGCTATTGTTATAGGTTAAACTGTGTTCCCCAAAATGATATGTGAAGTCCTCACCTCTGGTATCTGTGAATGTGAGCTAATTTGGAAACAGAGTCTTTGAAGATGCAATATAGTTAAGATGAGGTCCCACTGGATTAGGATGGGCCCTAAATCCAATGAGAGAAAATTCTGGAGACAGAGACTCAGAGATACACAAGAGAGACAGAGGGACAACAGCCATGTCATGGCAGAGGCAGAGACTGGAGTGGCTACAAGCCAAGGAGCCAAGGATCGCTGGGAACCACCAGAAGCTGTGAAGAGGTGGGAAGAATTCTTCCCTGGAGCCTCCAGAGAGAATACGACCTTAAGACACCTTGAGTTCAGACTTTTAGTCTCCAGAACTTTGAGATAATAAATTTCCATTGTTTTAAGCCCCACAGTTTGTGCTGATTTGTTATGGCAGCCCTGGGAAACTAAAGTAACCACCTCCTTTAAGAAGAGTTGGAGGGGCTGGCCCCGTGGCCGAGTGGTTAAGTTCGCGCGCTCCGCTGCAGGCGGCCCAGTGTTTCGTTGGTTCGAATCCTGGGCGCGGACATGGCACTGCTCATCAAACCACGCTGAGGCAGCGTCCCACATACCACAACTAGAAGAACCCACAACGAAGAATACACAACTATGTACCGGGGGGCTTTGGGGAGAAAAAGGAAAAAATAAAATCTTTAAAAAAAAAAAAAAAAAAAGAAGAGTTGGAAATTCACTATGACTAGCGTCAAGGTAGCACCTTAATTTACCTCAAAAAGTTGCTTTAATTCCAAACCAAAATACAACCTCAGTTTAAAAAGAGTGTGGCTGCAATATTCCCATAAATATAGGCTAAAATGTAGGAAAAGGAATGAAAAATTGCAAGTACCCTAACTGACCCTGGCCTTGATTGCTGTATTACTGAATGACGAGGCTGAACGGTTTGGGTGGCTCCTAGAAATTGCAAGGGATGTGAAGTCACATATACTAACCTGATGTAAACACTGTTAGTCTCTTACTGATCTGGTGCTGGAAGGAGTGTAGGTCTGGAGAGAACAGTTCAAGAAGTTCAATGACTAGAGGTGACAAAAGAAGCATGAAGGAGCCCATGATTTCCTAACTGATCTTTTCAGTTTTAAGGAGCAATTGCGCACACAGAAATAGACATAGTTTCCAAAATTTCTGTCATTGCTGTTCTTTTAAATGGCACAGCAATAGACAAAGTGCAAGAGACACAGAAAAGCTGAGTCATTAGATTAGAAGGTCCTGACACTTTAGCAAAAACAGCATAAACGTGCTCAGTAAGAACAGAATAGAAATCAGAATTTCTGTGAATTTTTCTTCTCGTATTTTAGTTCATCCTTTCCTCTCCATAAAGCCATGTCCGTCTCATTTTTAAAGTTCCAGTTCTTAATTCACGTTTCCCAAAAAACTTTGCCCAGTCTAGCTGTAGGATTCCTCAGCAAGCCTGGTGTCCCTCTGCCTTTCTTACTATTTTCTCTAATATATATAATATATAACATGTAAGTATACACACATATAGATATATACAATGTATATGTATATATACAAAGTATATATAAAAGTTCCTAATAACAGTGCATATGCCTCAAAAAAGTATCCTGATTTTTATTTATTTCATATCAGAACATCATCCTTTCTCAAATTCTGGTTGCACACACTCATAATTCATAGTAAAAAGTTACATAATGGTCCTTCCTACCATTGCAAGGCAAAAATAACTTCTTCACTGAACTCGTGTTAGGATAAATCAGCCACAGCCGACAGGGAAGAACCTGGGGTGACATGAGAGCTCAGGCGGCAGAACGGCCTTCCTCCCTTGCTGGGAGCTCAGTGCGGTGTGTGACCGGCTTTGGCCACCAGCATCTGAGCAAAGTTGGCAAGTCATTGCTGGGAGAAGGTCGACTGTGGAGCACAAGCCAGCAGGCAACAGCCGCAGCCTGGGCCTGGCAGGGATGATGATGAGCTCCTATAGACGTGAGGCATGAGCACAAAATAAATCCTCACTTCTCAAGCCGGTGAGATTTGGGGATTTGCTTTTCTTTTGTTACTGCAGCAAAACCTACCCTATCACGAGAGATACAATAATAAAAGTTCATACGACGTCCAGTGCTTTATGTTCCCCCCAGCGAATACTCCTTCATAAGACGGGCAGGGCTGAGACAGAACGACTGTTCACCGGAAAGAAAGCTCAGGCTTTGTGTGCAGACCTGGAGAGCATACAGACCAGATGGTGAACCAGGCCCAGCACTCTCTCCCTTCTAAGTGGCTTGTAATGGACACAAAGTGGGCAGAAGTAGGGCCCTGATGCCTAGAACAGGGTCTGGATTTTAAAAGGACATGTCGGTTATTGCAGCACAATATTGGCATGGTCACTACTAGAGACGTTAATAAATTGAATTTGTGAAATTGCCATCATGTTCTGTTTTCATCCATTATATTATATAATGAAAAATGAAAATAAAATGGGTTTATATTTACTACAAATTTAGTTTAAAATTCAAATTAGGAAGCTGCATGGTAATGTTAGATTAAATTCTATTAAAATTCTATTAACATAATTAAATTACATTTTAATGACTAAAACCATGAAAAATACTTAATAAAATGCATTATTTATATTATGAAATATTTCATTAAATAGATTTAACAATATTTGGACTCATTACCAGTAGAGGAAAACTATAATTTATTTATTAATGCTTTTACGTATCTAGTTACACTTCTGTTCCATATCTTGATATTTAAATCTTCTAAGTATTTAATGACTCTTGCTGTGTTACCTGAAGTCAGAGTGCATTTTACATCAACATGCATCTAAAATGGTTAAAATGATCAAAGGCTTCCAAAGAATTTTGTGCAGAAGCTAGACAGAGCAGCCATGAACACGGACAATTTCAAGATAAAAATGTTATCAGTTGGTTTCACCCCTAAAAAGAGTTTTATATTCCAGTTTCTGTTGGCTGATGTTTTGCACAGAAAAGCAAGAACATTTCAGGTTTCTTCTAATTACTGCATAAGGGGCATGAAAGCAAGCAGAGCCCACACTCCCTCGGCTGGAAGACATCAGCGTGGACTTGGGCGAACCACGCAGCTGTGCTCTGTTGGGGATGCTGTGTCGGTTCCGCACGCGGACTGCCCAGAAGTCTCTTATCCAAATTCCAGCTCGAGTGCAGGGCCTCGAAAGACCACCACTGCTGCTTGTTTCTGAATGCTCCTGCAGTGTCCAAATTCGACTTGTCTGCTCATAGGAATAGCAGAGCTTTTAATAAAATCATTGAGGTCAGCTGTAATGGTTATTGCACTTTATGTGAAAAGTATTAATTTATATTAGTGACAAAAGCATATTACTACCAAATCATGAATATAAATAACCAGACATCAGCCCATGAGCTACCTGGAAACCTCGAGCAGATCATAGTTACAGAACTGTGGTTGTTTATATCAGACACTCTCAAGAAAGCTGATATCCTGTAGGACAGCTGATATAAATAGCGGTAGAAAGAGGAGCAGAGGGAGTCACATTTGTTTATGTGAGCAGATCAAGTAGAACTTTTGTAACCCTTATGAACTTTGAAAACTATTTCCAAGATTGCATTACAGCAGCATCTATTATACAAGGCAAGTTTTACTGCATTACGTTTTAAGAGAAATACAAATTCTTTGGGGATCTTTGAATTGTTGCAGTAAATGTTCAGATGATCTGTTACAATAAGGGACACAGAAGCTATTTTCTAACCAGCCTTCCAGCATTACTCCACACCCGCCCCTCCCACCAAATCACTCTAGAAAATTTGACAACAGAGTCTAAAATTCATCCGGAAACCAGGAACCTGCAGTTGCTTTCTGATGATGTGATAGCAGCAGGGAGCCCGTGGCAGGTACGAGCTGAAGGCCAGGGCATGCGGCAGGGGGTGGGAGCGGGTGTGGGCTGCTGGCAGAGTTCTTTAACCACATGGTAGTAAGTCCCTCTCAAACTGAAGACAGAAGATCATTTCCTTCAGAGTTAGGGGACAATGGAGCTAGGTTTGTCTGCTTCTCCAGCAGCTGTCAGATCTCCTGTCTCTTCCTGACCCATCCTTTAGAGATTGGCTTCAGCAAAAGTACTCGCTCGGGTTTTGTTTTCAACTTGCAGATCTTATAAGTCCTCCTGAAGAGCTCTTCAATTCCTCCTTCAGCTGCGTGGGATAAGCCAAGTTTCCTCTCATTTTGTGGCTTTATAGCCTATGAAGGCCTTAGTCCCATCTTCTAAGGTATGTTCTCCCTATTGCAAGGCTCCAAAGCTGTGCTACTCCAAGTGAGGTCTGTGGATCAGAAGCATCAGTATCACTTGGGGACTTGTTAGAAAGGCAAATCCTCACCATCCCCACCCTTCTAGCCTACTCCATCAGAACCTGCATTGTAACAAGATCCCCAGGGACAGGATTATGTAAGCCAGAGAAACAACGCCCCAAGAGACATTTGGACTCTTGCTTCCTACCCTGGAACTCCGCCCTTCAGGCTGTCCCCTGAAGGAGGTAAAGGGTCGAGGGCACACTTTTCAAGTAAAACAGAGTCTTCCTGGTTATCGGTTTCTACTAGAAAGACCACAGAAAAGGAAATCCTGTGTGATCTCACACGCAGACCTTAACCAAGGAGCTCCCTGGAGAACTCATTTACTGGGCAATCTTACATCCAAGCTCCAGCCAGCTGAGGTTCCACCCATGGCCACATCAACTTTCCCCGCACCTCCACATCCCGACTCCTCCCTATCCCACCCTCAGGAAAGGGCCCGCACATCCACAACTCTCATCAGAGACTCTCCTCCCTCACTCACAGGTGACCAATGTCATCACACCTGTGTAAGCCCTTCCCAAAGAGAGCCTACCAGTGGGGTCACTGCAGCTAAAAAGTCCACCATACTGCAAGCCCTGGAACATGACCTCCACAATCACCAAAAACCCTCGAACAGTTACTACGTCTCCCTCCCAAAAGACGCTCATTGCAGCATCAGTCAGGTCATAGTTGGAGGGAGGGGAAGGACTGGACAAGGACACAAGAGCTGAAAGGACACAGCAGCTAGAACCCTAGGGTTCCACCTAGAGTTTAGGGTACATGAAGGGACCAGTAGACAACCCCGCTTCCTGGAGTCTTTCCTTCCATTTTCATAACTGTGCTTAGAAAAGTCTTCATCCACCCCTCAATCCTCTCCATGGAATTTCATCTCCCTTATGCGCCAGGTCAACGTGGCCGCATCTTCCAACTACGAACATTGACATAAAACTGCTTCTTGGACCTGGTCTTTCACTGAGAACTTCAGTCTAGCCTTCCAGTCTCCTAACCTCCTCGTCAGCTCGAAGACCTCTGCAGAATGCCTCACAGTCTCGCAAGGCAACGCCGCCCAAGACAAATCTGTCAACTGCAGAGAATCTCCAGCTACTCGCTAGTAGGGCAGTTTCTCTCGAGACAAGCTGACCTGGGCAGCCACTGAGTCTCTTTCTCGCTGTCAGAACGATTCAGAGAAGGTGGGCTCTCTTGACAAGCTTCCCTGAGTGGGCTTCACAACTAGACTCTTCACCCCCTGAGATAAGGTCCTCTTACTCATCTAGCATTTCCGGTGCCTTCACCTGGCAGAGGCAAGGTCCTAAGTAAATGTTTCTGAACTGAAGATAACTGGACTGGGAAAATGAGAGCAGCTCTCTGGGGATGATGCTATATCCAGGCAACATGTTGAAACTTACAGAGAAGGCTATGGGATTACTGTAATAAAAATTTGCAGAAACTGTGTCTCTGGTAAGTACTCCAAAGTTTTGGTGGCCAACACCTTGATTTCAACCTGTTGAGACCCTGAGCAGAGAACCCAGATAAACTGTGCCTGGACACAGGACCCACAGAAACTGAGACGGCAAAGCTGTGTTGTTTTGAGCTGCTAAATTTGTCACATTGCGATACGTAGCTAATACAATTGCCTAAGCTTATAGTGCTATAAATATTCTTAAAATACAAGAGTTAATTTTATTTTCTCATTTTATAGATTTACCGCATAGGCAGCAGACTCTGAATGACATCAATTCCTGGGACCATAAAATAGTTAGCAGAAGAGCTGCCGTGAGAATTAATAGCTTCTCAGCCCTGAGTTCGCGGCTCACTGAACATACCATCTGTGGCTCTGTCGCCTCTTCTGATAGAGAAACAAATTATTTAGGAGACTGTGATTTTCTTTAAATGTTGTGCTTGTAAAAGTGGTGTCTATATTATCATTTCTAAGAAAGAATAGGTTTTAAAATGAAATTTAGTGAAGCGGCAAAAGCTCAGAGTTTCTGTTCTGAAATGGAAGAAGTCCAGAAGCAGTCGGGACCAAGCAAAATGAAACCACGATGAGCAGCGAGTGGAGGGCCACTGATGGAACGGTATGTAGTCAAATTTAAACTGTCTTTGCTCACGCCTTTTTTTGTTGGTCCCATATAAGACATCACGGTGGTGGCTTCAGTCTTTCAGATGTAGCCCTATTGTTAGACTTCTTCAGCGGAGTTACTCCAAGGAATCACCCAATGGAGAACTAATTTCCATGATTCCCCGTCAATTATGCCCTTTTTGCAATTCTTATGTTAATAGCTAATTTCTTTTAAAAAATATTTTAAATACACTTAATTTTTTCAGAGCAGTTTAAGGTTCACAGCAAAATTGAGCAGAAAGCAGAGATTTCCCACATAGGCTCTGCTCCCACCCCCACTATCAACGTCCACAGCAGGTAATCCATTTGCTACAACCCATGAACCTACACTGACACCGTGCTATCACTCAGAGTCCACAGCTTACATTAGGGTTCACTCTTGGTTTTGTACATTCCATGCATCTTGACAAATATATAACGTCATGTGTCCATCATTATAGTATCATATAGAATCGTTTTACTGCCCTAAAAATCCTCCGTACTCTGTCTAGTCATCCCTCCCTCCCGGTAACCCCGGGCAACCACTGATCTTTTTACTGTCTCCATAGCGTTATCGATTCCAAAATGTCATATAGTTGGAAGCATACAGTACAAAGCCTTTTCAAACTGGCTTCTTTCACTTAATATGCATTTAAATTTCCTCCATGTCTTTTTATGGCTTGATAGCTCATTTCTATTTAGCACTGAATCATATTCCAGTGAATTCATGGACCATAGTTTATCCATTCACCAACTGATGGATGTCTTTTAAAAGATGTTACCTTAATTTTTCTTAAAAAATATTTTTTCTGGGGGCCCGCCCTGGTGGCCTAGTGGTTAAGTTCACACCCTCCAGTTTGGCAGCCCGGGGTTCATGGGTTCAGATCCTGGAAACAGATCTACACACCGCTCATCAAGCCATGCTGTGGTGGCATCCCACATACAAAACAGAGGGAGATTGCCACAGATGTTAGCTCAGGGACAATCTTCCTCGCCAAATAAAATGTTTTTTCTATGCCACCATGCAAGTTCCTGTAATTTATACTGGAAAGTAATACAATACGTCCAATACAATGGCCAAAAGAAAAAAATCAAGAAAAATAAGATATTCCAAGGAATATATGAAAGTCTTACAAGTTTCTTTGCATACAGTTTTGAATGTATTGAAAAAATATTAAATAGCTACGGTTGAGAACCTAAAATGTAATGTAATGTTTTAATATATTTATGGTCACTTAAAGAATAAAGTTATTTTACACATCAGAATATCTGGATTCTGTAGTGAAGTCCCAGAATTGAAAGCCACCCCAGAGCTCCTCCTCAGGCAGGTGAGGCCTCAGGGGCCCGAGGCTGCTCAGAATCTGGAATCTGGAGGGTCACTGTCTTCAGGCCTCTCTTAGCAACAGATTATTTTTGCCCTCTAAGGTAGGATTTTTCACCCAGATTATAAGTCTTACATTTTATGTTCTCCATCTCTCTCTCTCTCTCCTTCACACACACACACACACACAAAACTGAGACAAGTATCATGAAACATTATTTACTTATAAGTATTGTGATAAAGTAAGAGCATAACAAAGTCAATATTGGACATAATTTCATTAATATTTAAATATAAAGGGAAAGTTCCCCAAATAAATAATACAAAAACAAACCAAATAGTCATGCTGTGCTGCATGCACTAAATCGGTGTCCCCTACTCCGGGACCCACAGGAGGAAACACCCCCAACACCCGCCCCAGCTTTCCCTCAGGGCCCTCGGAAGCTGCTTCCAACTCTGGCCAGTCTGCTGGCCTCCAAAGAGAAAAAGCCGTCATCACTGCCTCTGGACGCCCTTTGAACTCAAAGGCAGAGACTATGTCTTCATCATCTTGTGAGCCCTGTACAAACTGCACCCTTTGGAAATTATATTTTAACTCCTTACTGAGGTTCCTCAGTTCGAGAAGAGAGAGAGAACATAAAGTTTAACTCCTCTCGAAAACATTTCAGAGTTGAAAAAGCACAAGACGAAAGCAGTGACTGACAGCTCAGATTTTGCTGAACACTAGATTGTCTCAAATGATGCTAAAACAGGAAAAATGATCAAACTGTACTCACTTTCCCATTTTCCCCTTGGTATTTTCCTTCTCCCTTCTCAATACCTTTGGGAGAAAATGAAAATGTTTCCTCACCATGGCCAGGACAAGAAGTTGCCTCTCTGAAATCCACTCCCTCCTTCCTTAGCAACACAATCTCCATATCCTTGGGAGCAGCTCCTTGTACGTATAAGGATGGGGTGACCTGGCAAAGAGCGAGGCTTCTGGAAGGTCTTAGAAGAGGGCTGCCTCAGCTTAGGGGCACACACTTCTCGCCCTGCTCCTCTTCCTTTGTCCTCATGCCTGAAATGTGCATGTTGGCAAAAGCCTCGGCTGCCATCTTGAACCACGAGGCAAACTGGAGGATGGGAATCGCACACTAAGGATAGTAGCAGAAAATAAATAAGGAGCCTGGATCGCTGACATGTATGCAATTACCATGCCAATGTTGCAGTGCCGAAACCCAGAACTCACATACAAGAGAGAGAAGTAAACCTCTATCTTGTTTAAATTCACTCTTATTTGGGATGGCTATTATATGCAGCCAAGCCTCATGGATAAAAATTCTTAGATCTACTTCTTTTCTGATTCTAAATGACAACTGTTCTACCTTCCTTGGCTTTTTTATGTACATGTGCTTTTCCTGTGCTGTGTGTGGCAGACAAATCTGGTGGCTTTCTTAGGATGGGATGACAAAAGCTAGTTAGCACCCAATATGCTAAACCCTCCCACCTGCCTCCTCATTCTCACCGAAAATTTTCATCTGCCTTCTTACTGCACGATCTGTCTACTGTTTCTACTAATCCTGCAAGGAATGTGGATGTTGAGCCAGGGTTAAAACAGCGACCAAGTTTCCTCCTCAGCATCACATTCGATGAGCCATAAGTGGAATCAGAAAGAAAAGCACTTAATGAGAAATACACAAGAACCACATGTAGAATTTAGAATGCTTCTGGAGGACATGAAAAACAGGCTGAAGAAGCAGAATGGAGCCCATGTTCTGGGACAGGAAAATTCCACAGAGACATCCATCTTCTCAAAGCTAATTTGTAAACATAATGGCATCCAAAAAGAAGTCAATTTTGTATTTCCAGAACAAATTAAGGTCAATAAGATCATTCTAAGGTTTATATAGGAAAAACAAATATATAAGAACATTCAGGAAAATTCTGGGAAAGAGTAATGAGGAAGGAGTAACTCTTCCAGATAAACACTGTAAAGCCTCATTAATTAAATCAATATGGAACTGTTGCATGAAGACAGATGTAAACTTAAGGAAAGAAATGAAGTTCAGAAATAGAAACTAAAATATACAAAATTTGGCATATGATGAAAGTGGCATTTCATATCTGTGGAGAAAAGATGGACTGTAGAATAAGTGGCGCAGATAACTGGGTAGCCACGTAGATAAAAAGCTGGATCTCTATATTACACACTCACCAGAACCAATTCTGAAAGGATCAGGGACGAAATGGAACAAAACAAAATAATACAAATACTGGAGGAAATGTGCGTGAGAAGTATTTTTATAATCTTAAAATAGAGGCTTTTCAGTACACAAAATCTAGAACCATAAAAGAAAAATCGACGCTAGGCCATATGTAAAAGAAAAACAAAAAAGTTCTAAATAATTTTTTTAAAAACTATAAGCGAAGTCTGTAAATATGAAAAATATTTACAATTCAAATAACCTAAAAAGGACTAATTTCCTTGGTATATATGCAGCTCCTACAATACTCACTCACCCAATATCTACCGAAAGCAATAAGACAAAATCCAGCAACCCACTGGAACATGGTCACAGCCCAGGAACAGTTAATATGTTTTAAAAAATGCAAATAGCTGTTAAATACATGAAATAAGTTCTTCCTCCTTCACGATAAAAGAAATGCAACTTCTTCTTTCACTTAGGAATTAGTGCAAATTCCAGACTTTTGCCAACACACTGCTGGCCAGGCTGTAAATAAAGAGGCCCTCTCTACATTGTTGGTGGGAGTCAAGTTGTTAGAAATTCTATCAAAGGCATTTTGGTAATTTCTTTCAAAATTATGTACTCATAAACCCTCTGACTCAACATTTCGACATTTGGATTTTTTTCCTACATTATACTCACCAGTGTGTTAAAAGACATGTGTAAGATTATTTTTTGCATCATCTGCAATAACAAAACATTTAAAACACCTTAACTGTCCTTTAGTGGGTGACTGGTTAAATAAATAATGATATATCCAATAAATGGAATAATGGCTTTAAAAAATAATGAGGGAGCCTTTTCTGCACTGATAAGGAGAAATCTACAAGATGTGTTAAATGCTAAAAAGAATACTGCATAGTACTTATAGCATATACTATTCTGTGTGGGAAAAAAAGAGGGAGAGAAGAAAAATAAAACTATATTGGGAAGTAGATTGTTCACTTTATATTCTTGTCTACTTTTTGATGTTTGGGCCAATAAAATATATTACCCAGTCAAAAAATGAAATACAACATTTTTAATAAAATAAAGGAAAGAATATGCGTACATATCACTGAGAACCTTACAAATCTGGAGACCTGTGTGATGATGTCCTAGGAGATGTCATATTAAAGAAGCATAGAAATGTCAAAAACAGCTTAAAATGAAAAACTTTTTCTTTGCTTATCTTGAAAATCCCAATGGCTTCTGAATACCTTCACCAACACAAGAGTTGATACAATCTCCCTCCTCTCCAGCTAAGCCCCAGGGAGCAGAGTCAGACCTGAGGCAGGAACAGGGTCGGGAGAGGCGACAGTCGTCCGGCGGGATTCAAGCATCGCCGCGGCCTCGCCGCCGTGGGCCCCGCACCGCCCTGCTCTTTAACGGAGCGTCCACTGCGATTCTCTGCCAACGCTGCACGATTCCACCTTGGGAGCGCGTCCTGGGGGGAGCGTCCGACAACCTGACTTTTAAGTTCGCCAGTCTCCTGATCAAGTGGAGCGGCACCAGATATAAATCACATAATCATGTATATAAATAGATAAATCTGCATCAGATAGAAATCATGAAGTCCCCGACTTTGAACCTGATTCCATAAATTAACGATAATTCTGGGATGTTTTGGGAAAGGCGATTATTAGGATTAAGGCATTCGTGTGTGGAAGGCGCATGAATGACGGATCTGGAAGGTGGAGCCGGCAGAGGCACTGCCTGGCCCCCTTCTGGCTCCTCCGCCACAGGCTCCGCTCCGGAGAAGCCCCCCGGGCCCGAGGTCGTCCGTCTCCCGCCGCGGGGACGCGCGGCTCAGCGGGACCCCTGCTTCGGGATGGTGGGAAGCACCACGCAGAGGGCCGCAGGCTCCGGCCCGCGGGCCGTCGACACCTTCGTCCCCTTTTGCCCCGAGACCAGGCTGCGCCGTGGCTCTGGTCCCCCGAGGACGGAGGATGCAGCGCAGAGGCCTCCATCAAAGGGGCCGCTTAAAGCCGAGCCCCGAGGCAGCCGAGCCCCGAGGCAGCCGAGCCCCGCAGCCGGCCCGACAGCGAGCCCCGAGGCAGCCGAGCCCCGAGGCAGCCGAGCCCGCAGCCCCGACAGAAGGCCACGCCTGGGGAGCGTGGTCCACGACAGCCACACGGCGCGGCTGCACCTGCCTCCTCGAGAAGGCGGCCTCGTGCGAGGCCTGAACTGTCGCAGTCAACCGCCTGACCGACGTTGGGACGAGAAGCCCTCTCCCCGCGTGTGGACGCCGTCTGAGCAGCGCCTTCCTCCTGCGCTGCATCCTCCGTGTCATCCGGGCTCCGGCGCAATGGGAGCTGTGAGGCCTCAGGCTCCGACCACAGAGGGCTTCTCGCAGCTCCGCAGGCCGGCAGACAGCCGGGCCCTTGCACCCGGGCTGCACGCTCACGAGCCGTCAGCTCCCCGAGGCCCCCTCTCAAGGCCCTCACACTCGGCTGAGGGTTCCGATGCACGTATTTGGGAGGACAGAAGCGTTCAGTCTATGAGTTTGCCTGAACTATTCTTCACTGCTCTCTCTTTCCTTTAACCACAAAAGAGAATTAAAGAGAGTATTACATATATTTTTGCGTTTATTCCATAACATTTCATAATCTCTTCTCCATTTGACATTGTTTTTTAATCACCCAGTCATTTCCCACTATTGGCCAGCCACCTCCGACAAGAATTTTGAAAGGTGCCCTGTTTATCCTGAACGTGGAAATTTAAGAAGTCGTTTCTTGTGAGAAGGTGACAATGTTAAAAAAAAAAGATTTTACCTGCAGTTTGTAAATATCTGAGATTCTCTGATAAGTTTAAAGGATCATGCTATTATTAGGCAAATTTTTTATTTTACCTAATTTCATAGTTTTTTCTTAGATTATGAGACAAGAATTTTTATATACAATGAATCCATGCATTCTGCATGTAAATTACTTTAGAGAAAGGCATTTTAGAAAACTGTACTAAGAAAGATATGACGATACATCCTTTTTTTAGTATAATAAACTACATGATAACTGTATGGCTGATTTTATAAATTATTTTCACTGTAAAATTCAAATATTATAATCCAAAATGTAGTTCTTGCTAAGAATAAACATAACTAGGCTATACTACCTTTGATGATTAAAAATAATTCTTATACAAATTATGTTTCCTTACTACACTTCTTAAAGAAAGTCATGCGCCACCACATATAGCACTTTTAAATTAATCAGTGAGATTGCCCCCAAAAGCAGCAGTGAGTAGATCAACCTTGCATAAACTTATGAAAAATGACCACTACCTGACCTTATTAAATATATTGAGAGTTTATACATTTTGGGGATATATGTTTATATAGTAAGAGTTGAAGATAACTCATTGTTTTGTCACCAATTCAATTATAAGATAATTTGAGACCTCACTAAAATGTCTATTTGAAAATATACCATGGTTCCTCTATTAGCTGATTTTTTAAACAAAACATTTTCAGGGGAAAAGCAGATAAAATTGTAAGTAAAAAATACACCCCTATTTTAATACATAAGAAATCAACGTTTAACGTATCCTTTAAGACAGGTTGCTAATTTTACCAGGGGTGAGCTAATGCTTCACTGGGGTCACACCCAGTTGTTTCCCTTCCCTAAAGCTGCCATGTTGTGAGGTAGAACACAGCTGTGTTTCTGCTCTGGAGCCTACGGTGAGCTAAACAAGATATTTTCCATTTGACTTCAAACGCCTCTTTTCAACTGGGAGAGACCCACCCCGAGAGGGCACAGATGGACTTGGTCAAGCGTGGGCTGTGGCTTGGTGACAGAGTAAACCAGTCACCAAGACCACAGGTGGTGCCGGCCTCGTTCAGCACGGCTTGCTTCTCGGCCTGGGTTCCTGCATGGTGGCCCGGGAGGAGCAGGGGCCTAAATCTCTCCTCTGAGCAAGAGTTTTCCACTTGGTCGAACCAAGTCTCCACTTCACATTTTAAACCCACTCGTGGGGTGTGTGTGAATCCAGAGTCAGAATATCTCCTTAAAGCAAAACGGACACTTTCCCAAGGCCCTGGGCTCCTGGGCGAAGATTCCAGGTGCCTGCAGATGGCTGCCATCGCCTCTTTGTATCTCAGGAAGAACACATGAAGATCAGCTTTCCCCACAGGCCGTGGGGAGGTTCCCGGTCGCCTTTTAGGTAAGTTTAATCTCCTAAATTATTTACAAAATTAAGTCTCTTTGAATAAAAGAGGCCAAAGGAAAAAGAAGAGGAGGTAAATCTTGCTTTGCTTTAAAAATACTAAATGACAAGGGGCGAGTTCTGAGCATCTACTTAGCACATTTAAGCATACTTATTCTTTTTTTTTTTTAACAGAAATTAGTTTATTTTCCCTTCTTGCTTCTAAGAACAAAAGCAGTCATTAGTACCAATTTTTCCTATAATTCTGTATCATATTTCTTTGGTGATATGGAGCTATTTTATATGGCTTAAATAAAAATGAGTAATTCCAAGTCTCTCTAAAATAATTAGAGGACAACCAGGGAGGAAATATCTACATGAAATATATAACATGTATAGAGATAAAAGACTTCCAAATAAGTGACCTTCTACATAAGAAATCATGTCAAAAGAAACTCAATTACTCAGAAATCATATTACAACATTAGCAGACAAAGGAAGTGCAGAAGATGTAACAGACCTTAATTTTAGCATAGCAGCTCATGAACTCTCATTTGAAAAATGAATTCAGATTAGCTGGGATAGGAGAGCTCTTCAGCACTAAAATAGCCTGAAGGGTTGTAAAGGGAAGCTAATGATGAATGGTGATGCACTGGATCACAGGTTTGCTTTTTGGTTTTCTTTTTGCAAAAATGGTTCCAAAATCTAATGTGTTCAAAGTACTTAAAATACCAAACTATTGATACAAATCATATGAAATGAAAGAGAAGGAAGAAAGGAAGGAGAGGAGGGAGGGAGTGAGAAAGGATGGAGGGGGTGGGAGGAGTCCCCCAGGCAGCTTCAGGTGTCTCCTGCACACCTGTGGTTTGAGCTTCGCTCTGACAGCAAGCCCAAGAGCCTGTGGCACTCATATTCTGTAACATGTGACAGCAAAGCATGACCTTACACATTAGATATATATTCAATTTTCTTTCTCCCATTTCTCATATTATTGCCATACATAAAGTAATACATACAGGTGTATCAAGATTTATATTATAGAAGAACAAGTAAAAACAAGATTAAGTATAATTACCACTAACAAGGGTTAACATGCACTGTGAGAAAACTTTAAAATCTATCATCTAATTTAATCCTGAAATCAATTTCAAGAGGTAAATACCATTATTATTCTCATTTTAAGGTGAAGAAACTCTATTTTATTTTCAGATAGCCAGTAGATTGTGAAGCTAGACCTGAAATGAACTCTGCCCAAACCCCATGCTCCTTTCATTCTAGGACTTCACTATTGTTACTGTTATTGTTGTTGTTATACTTATTATTGCAGTTACTTTCATGGACTTAACAGACAGGGAAACAGAAACACAAACCCATTAAAATTTAAACAACCTGAGGGGTTAGCCCGGTGGTGCAGTGGTTAAGTTTGCATGTTCTGCTTCAGTGGCCCGGGGTTCGCCAGTTCAGATCCTGGGTGTGGACCTATGCACTGCTTGGCAAACCACGCTGTGGCAGGCGTCCCACATATAAAGTAGAGGAAAATGGGCACGGGTGTTAGCTCGGGGCCAGTCTTCCTCAGGAAAAAAGAGGAGGATTGGTGGCAGATGTTAGCTCAGGGCTAATCTTCCTCAGAAAAAAAATTAAATTAAATTAACTAATTAAAAAAATGTAAACAGCATGATTGAACAGGTCTTCAAGACAATAATCAGAGACATGCTGACCAATACTCACAGGATCACCAGCACATGCAGAGTCCTGACCTGATCCAGCGCCTGTGCCAACACCCTTTTAAATGGAGCATCTCTCAACTTCACAACCCTGTGGATGATCCCAGTGAAGACACTGAGAGTTTAAGAAATGCCTCCAAGGCAGCTGTGGTGGAATCAGGATTCACACCCAGGCATCTGAGCTGAGAGATCTTGTCCTTAACCGTCCTGGATGGAGATTTTCATGACTGGAAGCATAAACTGCGCAGAACCTGATCGCCTCAGAACTTCAGAGACAGGACAGTCAGTCCTGGCTGGGACGACCAAGGAAGACTTTTAGGCAAATAGGAGAGAGGACGTATTCAGGACTTTGAACAGTCTGTGAACTACAGACAGAAGGAGAACAGGAAGGCGGGTGGGGAGTGAGCAGAGCGTGGAGATGGGAAAGCTCAAGGCCAGTTCAGGGAAAGGGCAAGGACGCTGGGTGGAGCTGAGTCTGAAGGGAGCACTGGCAGAAGAGGAAGGTGAGCTTTTCCCGTCACTGCTTGAACAAGTTGCCACAAATCTACTGGCTCAAAACAGCACAAATCCCGTATCCCCCAGTTCTGAGGTCAGATGTCCAGGCTCAGTCTCCCTGGGCCGCAGCCACAGTGTCCTCAGGGCTGGTCCCTCTGGGCTGCAAGGAGACCATTTCCTTTGCTCTCCAGCCCTCTTTGGCCCTGCAGCCCTCCCTGCTGTCACTCCAGCTGGGTCTTCATGGACCAACTCTGACTCCCCTGCTTCCCTCCTACGAGGACCCTGTGACCACGTGGGCGCCCGTCTGGGTACGGGTAATCTCCTATCTCCAGGATAATTGCCCCGTTTTGAGAGCCGTAACTTAAGCACATCTGCGGAGCCGCTTGGCCTTAAGAGGCTCCCTATTCCAGATTCTGGCTGTTAGGACCTGGACTCTTTGGGGCCACAAGACCGGACAGGCAGACTCTCACCACCTGATGGCGGATGTCTCTCCCTGCCAAACTGGAGATTAGTGAGAACCACTGATGGTTATTTAAACAAGGAAATAGCAGGATTAAAGTAATATTTTAGGTTGAGTAATCTGGCATTTAGGATGATTCATCTATATCAGTGGTTCTCAAAAATTAGAGTGTCTAAAAATCGCATTTGGAGTTTGTCAGAAAATGGA